AAAAAAAAGATACCCCCCCCCCGCAACACACATGAATAAAACCAGTCTTTTTTTTTCTTTTTTTTTACAGTTTTCAGGTAAGGTATTCCACAAACATATTTCTGGAACAAAGGATACAAAAAATTTTAAAATGTTTTTGTAAAATTTCATGAATCCAAGCCCAGTATTTTTTTTTGCTTTATCACATAACTACCACATATGGTAAGGAGCTGCGCTGGCTCAAGTGGTTAAGACGCTGAACTGCAGGCTGTGGAAGGTCAGTAGTTCAGCAGTTCGAGAGCCGAGTTGCCGCATGACGGAGTGAGCTCCCGTCTCTAGTTCCAGCTCCTGCCAACCTAGCAGTTCGAAAGCAAGAAATTGCAAGTAGATAAATAGGTACCACTTCGGTGGGAAGGGAACAGCGTTCCGTGCGCCTTGGTGTTTAGTCATGCCGGCCACATGACCACGGAAACGTCTTCGGACAGCGCTGGCTCTTCGGCTTTGAAACGGAGATGAGCACTGCAACCCTAGAGTCGGATTCGACTGGATTTCAAGCAAGGGAACCTTTGCCTTTACTTTACCACATATGGTAAAAAGATTATTTTGACACTTCCAACATACATTTGAGCAATTAGGGTAAAACTTAGCCAATTTATCAGGTGTAATATACCATCTATAAAACATAAATATTTTCCTTATATGGAATTGCTTTTGTAATTTTTACAATCCCCCCAACACACACCTGTGACCACTGGTCCAGCTCAATACGGTGACCTAGGTTTTGAGGCACATTTAATGTGATATTCCCTCTTCGCATCATTTCCCTTCCCTCCATGTGCCTCCAAGTAATTGTTTCCGGAGATGCCTCTGGAGGCAAGCGTGGAGCCATCCTCCTGACTCCTCCTGCGTTTCAAAGGGATCTGTTGTCCCGGGTCTCGTCCCTGAGCCAAGTCGGGTGGTCTTGGCTTCCGTCCTTGCCGGGTGATGTGCATATGGAGCCCCACGTGTGTGTAACGTGCCTTCCCTTGTGCCCCCTCGTCTCCGCAGCTGGCCAGCTGGCCGGGAACTCTTCCGTGGAGATGTACCGCCAAGTGCTGCTGTCTGGCTGCCGCTGCGTTGAGCTGGACTGCTGGAAAGGCCGGACGGCGGAGGAGGAGCCGGTCATCACCCATGGGTTTACCATGACAACGGAAATATCGTTTAAGGTACATCCGTCGGGGGTTGCTGAAACGGCTGCGTGATGGAATAGCACGACAAGGCAAAATGATTGTCAGGTGGACTTCTGATGCACCGTTGTGCCAGTTGACTAGGGTGGGGTGGGGGGGTGGCGACAACGATGTGAGGGAGACAAAGGTCCTTTTCCGCACTTGGATCTCATCCCTGGTTTTATCATCAGAGTTCAACTCAGGACACGATCTCTTGCATTTATCCCCCGGTTTATAACAGCATCTGTTTATCCCGGGACAAGTGTGGGGAGAAACTGGAGTGACCTCAATGTAATGTGGAAACAAAAAATAATTACAGGGGTGAACTCGAGTGTAGCATAGAATGCAAAAACACCCTGAGATAATGACAGAGGTGAACTCACGTGCAGTGTGGAATGTAAGTTCGGGGACAGGGCTGAGCCGGGATTTAAGGTCTGGTGCGGAAAGGACCAAGGAAGGGCATCCAAAAGTACTGGAGTGTGTAGGTGCTCAAGGGTCGAGTTAGAAGGCTTCCCTGAAGCCTTCAAGCAAGCGTGCACTATTGGGAAGTGTGAACAACTTCCTGGTGCCGTTGGAAGCAGAGTCCTCCCTTTCCAAGACCACAAAAGCATCAATGAACTTAGAACGAGGCACCCCTGCTGCAGATGGCACTCTTAGCTACCCAGCCACACACTGAGTGCCACATATCTATTTAAGCAGTCTGTATTTCTTGGATTCAGGTGGGGTCACCCAGGGCCGGCTCACTCACTAGGTGAACTAGGCGATCACCTAGAGCGGGCTGGCCCTTAGGGGCGCCAAACTGCACCCGGCCCCGTACTCTGGGAATTTCTTGATTATTTGTGTTTTTCATTCTTCCTAAAATGCATTTATTTTTGAAAAATGGTGGGCGCACGGGGGAAGGGGGGGCAGAAGGGATCCTCGCCTAAGGTGCAAAATAAGCTGGGGCTGTCCCTGGGGTCGCCATGCTGGTCTGAAGCAGCAGAACAAAGTTTGAGTCCCCAGGGGCACCTCTGAGACCAACAAGGTTTAGTTCTGGATATCAGCTCATGTGTGCTTCTGAAGAGGTGTGCACACACATGAAAGCTTGTACCCAGAATTAAATGTTGGTCTTAAAGGTGCTACTGAATCCAAACTTTGTTCTATCTTTCCTGGAGTATGTGGGTGTGATGCACTGTTTCCAAAGGAGCAAGACCTGTCAGGGGTGAGGGACCAGGAGGTGGCACGGAGAGATCTGGAAGCGGAGAGGCCGAGGGGCTGCTGGGCATTTCCACCCGGGCTTCCGTGGCTGAGCCGCTCCCCTTGCACACTTGACCCAGTGCAGCTCCCGGGGAACAAACGTGCCAACCCTCTTGCACGCTGCTTGCACCACCCAGGGAAGCCAAGGACAGTGGCCCTCCACAGATGTCCCCCCTCCCCCCCCGATAGAGCTCTCCATCATGTGGGATCTTTGGATCTGCAGCTCGGGAATTCTCCTCAGGAATAGGTCTACCAGGCACGGTGGGAGATGTTCCTTGCTGGGAAAGCAGTGCACTTGCCGCCGGAAGCACGCACCCTGCAGTAAATCAGGGCTCAGGCATCCTGGGCAGCAGCGAGCAGAGAGAATTCCAAGCAGCAGCAAGTCCCGATATATTGAGAAGAGCAGCGGCAGCTGTTGAGAGAGAGAGAGATAAACCTGACGCTTATCTGCCCTCAGTACCTGCAGAGTGTTCAGGCAACGGAAAGATCCAGAGATTCTAGAGCCCTGATGGTGCGGGCGGATCTTCGTGGTGGAGTTACGGGAAAGACGATAAAAAGGAGTTCAGATGAAAAACAAGGATGCCGTTTCAGATTTTCTCCCAAGGTTTTATCAGATGGGTTCTGGTGGTACGTCTGCTTAAACAAGGAGTCGTTGAATTATTATGTGCAAATAACATGGCCGGTCTCCTTTGGCAGCCTCAGCAACAGTCTGACCAAGGTCGTCCGTTTTCAGGGACTCCCCCTTCACTGTAGCACCCCGGAGGGCATTTTCTTTAAATGAGCTGGATCCCGAGGGGTGCCCATGTGTGTGTGTGGGGGGGGGCCTGTAGCGCTGCAGGATCACCCTCGTCACAGAGAGATGCAACATGGGAGAGATTTGGCAAAAGGTGCTTTTATCACATTTTGGCACTTTGTTAGCAAAGTGTCTAGTGTGGTTTTCTGGAAGATTGCCGTAGAGGCCTGTTTTAGCATTTGACGAGAGAGGGTTTCCTAAAGAGAGTAGCATGCAAAGGGGTCCCCCCCCCTTTCCGTGCTTCTCCAGGCTTAACTTTTCCACCAGACTATCCAGAGTCCTGAGACCCTGTGGCAGAAACAGTTGCAGCAACATGCACAGTCTCCCCCCCCCCCTCGCCTTAAGTGGCATTATCCTGGCCCCTCTGATGCACTTCCTCTGTGGCAGTGATGTGTGTGTCAACTCTGGTTTCCTGAGAGTTATTTATATGGGTTGTGTGTTTGATCGTGTTTTTTTAATCTGGCGTGAAGGCGTGCTCCTTGGCGTCATTCTCTGCCTCACACAATGAAATGGTGCTGTACAGCTTACTCACTGGCTACCTTTCTCGACTGGTATGACTGTGCCTGGAGAAATTCCCCTCTCCTTTTATGTTTTCTTAGGGGTGCGTGTTTTAAACCTTCATGGTTGTGGAAGCCACCTTAAATTGGACACGGTGTTAACATAGAATCATAGAATGTTAGAGTTGGAAGGGATCTTGCAGGTCATCTAGTCCAACCCCCTGCACTCTGCAGGAGCACAGCCGAAAGATAGCCCTACAACATACCCAGAAGATGGTCATTCCACCACCTCCCAAGGCAGTCTGTTCCACTGCTCAACCACTCTTACAGTTAGGAAGTTTCTCCTGATATTTAGCCGGTAACGACTCCCTTGTAATTTCCACCCATTAGACCTAGTCTTGCAATCCAGAGCAAGAGAGAATAGATCCGCTCCGTCTTCTACATGGCAGCCCTTCAAGTACTTGAAGACTGCAATCCTGTCCCCTCTAAGCCTTCTCTTTCCCAGGCTAAACATCCCCAACTCTTTCAGCCTTTCCTCATGAGACTTGGATTCCAACCCTCTCACCATCCTGGTTGCCCTCTTCTGGACACGCTTGAGCTTGTCAACATCCTTCCCAAAATGTGGTGCCCAAAACTGGGCACAGGATTCCAGGTGAGGCCTGACCATAGCAGAACAGAGCAGAACTGCCACCTCTCATGATCTGGACACGATGCTTCTGTTCATGCATCCTAAGACTGCATTAGCTTTCTTTGCAGTCACATCGCACTGCAGGCTCGTGTATAGCTGGTGATCCACCAGAACACCCAGATCCCTTTCACAGGTGCTGCTGTCAAACCAAGTCCCTCCCATTCGATATCTGTGCCTTTGATTTTTTGTACCTAAGTGTAGGACTTTGCACTTCTCTCTACTGAAATTCATTTTATTTGTCTCTGCCCGCTGTTCCAGCCTGTCTAGATCATTTTGAATCCTGACTCTGTCTTCTTCGGAATTAGCCATCCCACCAAACAGTTACATGTGCTAAAAGCTCTTGCAGTAGTCGTCTCGATTATTCGGAATGCACCAGTGTGCCATTGAAAGTTTTTGTGGGTGGTTTTCACCCCATCTTGTCTCCTTTGCTAGTTTTCCCGCGGCACGTGTTCCTTTCATGCGGGTTATCCACACAAACACATGCTTGCCAACCTCCAGGTGTGGCCTGGTGAACTCCTGGTATTACCACTGTCTTCCAGATGACAGGGATCAGTTCCCCTGGAGAAAATGGCTGCATTGGAGGATGGGCCGTGTGGTGTTTTACCCTGCACTGAGGTCCCTCCCCGCCCCAAGTCCTCTCCTCCCCAGGCACACACACACACACACACACACACACACACACCCCACCTCCTGGAATTTCCCAACCTGGAGCCGGCCGCCCCAAACAAACAACAGTTCTAACACCGACCTTATTGTCAGATGCGGTTACTTGGGGCAAAGACCACAGTTTCGTCACGAGTTCCGAGGATCAAGCCAGATACGCATGAAATGGTGTGTGCTGAAGCCATTTCCACCTCACCCTAGATTCTCAGCGTGTGTCTTCTCTCATTCCTTCGTCCTTTAGCAGTTCTTAGTTTTATGAGGGGAGGGAAAGCGGCCCAGACCAAGTCGGATCTCATCAGATATCGGCAGTTAAGCAGGGTCAGTACTTGGAAGGGAGACCACCGAGGAAGACCCTGCAGAGGAAGGCCACGGCCAACCCCCTCTGTGCCTCACTTGCCTTGAAACCCCCTGGCTGAGCTCACCGTAAGTGGGCTGCGACTTGGCAGCACTTTACACAAACACACACGTCCAGTGTTCCCTCTGAGCCGAGTGAGTGTGAGCCAGCTCACAGTTTTTTAGCCCCCTGCTCACACATTTTTGTCTTAGCTCAGGGAGGATGGGGCTCCAGAGCAAACTAATTTATGCAGCAGCCAAATGGCTCACTCACAGCTTTAATGCCAGTAGCTCACAAAGTAGAGTTTTTGCTCACGGGACTCCACAGCTTAGAGGGAGCATTGCCCACAACACACTGCCAGTTTGGTGTAGTGGTTAGGAGCACGGACTCTAATCTTGGAGAACCAGGTTTGATTCCCCACTCCTCCACATGCAGCTGCTGGTGTGACCTTGGGTCAGTCACAAGTTCCTTCAGAGCCGCTC